GCAACGCAACGCAAGTACCTCCAGATCCTAGCTGAACTGGTGCATTTAATATAAATTTTAACCTCATTGAGGAACTCAATGCGAGGGTTAATTAAGTGATTGATGGTTGTTCAGGTCTATGCAATTGCACATATTGCTGTAAACTTGGGATTTCACATTTTCATTCTCTTAAACTAATTATTTCCTCACTTTCTCTCTTTCTGCAACTTGTGTGAATGTGTGTGTTCATGTGTTAGATTAGTTTATATGTCTTAGATTTATCCAATAAAGCCTTATTTATATTGAAAAGAGAAGTATCTTGTGTTTTATGCTTACAAGTTAATGTCTTAAACTGCCGATCTTGTTACTGTGCTAATTAATAGTGTTTTCACTATATTTTGGATATAAATATCCATTGCAGAGTTGATGTTATACGGCCCGTTCAATGAATCGCTGGCCGTCTCAGTGATCAGCCGTAAAACAGTGATTCTGTCCAAATTCCCTTTAAAATCTTAAATGATTCCCTAAATTGACCTGTTTCCCTTACACCAGTATTCAAAAAGGTTTTGTTGAATTAATTCAGTTGCTCTTTTTACCCAGTATTAAAATGGGTTTCTATGGAGACTTGAATAAGACAACAGGTCAATGGAAGTTACAATCTGACATAGAATAGATTCAGGGGTTGCAGACGGAAAAGGTGGATATGCTTGTGATAACTAAATGGTGCATTTGTTACCTTTTTAAAGCTGTAATGAGGACATTTAAGCAACAAGTATAAAACATGACGGTAAGTAAACAGTCACAGAAAGTTCTTGAAGCCGTCCAACTAGACATCAAATCATATTTACAGTGTAGTTTGAAAAACAAGTCAAAAATAGTTGGATTTCAAAGGAAAGAAAGCACATATTGACATCATAAGCAAGGAATATTGATTTCCTCCTCTGCTTCTGTCCGCCTCTGTTTTGAGCACTTGCCCTTTGACTCCTCTGCAACTGAGCCAGTGTTGCTTCCTGCTTGACTCAGTGTGAGTACAGCTGGACCACTTTAAGATTGCAGGATGATTTGACATTAAGGAGCTCACACTCCCAGCAGGCTCAACAAATGGCTCACGATGCACACAGAGAACAGGGCCAGCGGGGGAAGACGTCTCTCCTTAGCCTCATTCTCACTCATCTGGGGTGGTGTGACGCCAATGGAGTACTACATCAACAAGGAAAACAGTACACGGCGGAGGGGCTGATTTTATACGCATAGGAAGCTGACGCCATGGCTGGGTTCACATACGGGCTACATACACTCTCACACGTATGTCCTTAAAAGGCTTAAAATAACCCCGTAGACAGTGCAGCACTGTATCTAGGCAACAAGAGGCTGGTGATATGGATTCTTGTGGTTTGGTTCAGCCCTCAGCACTTCCACAAGATAAAACCATCACCGAGACACCCGTGGCGTGCATATAGGCAGGCATCAAACCTATTGTGTGCGTAGTAGAGCAATGACAGAACTGACAGCGACAAGGCAAAAAGAGAGCCGGAAAGAAGGAAGCTGGCAGTGAGATCACTGTAGGGACCTACATTTCTTAAAAAAGACCTGTAATATGCAGATTCAGTCATACTCCCATCATGGTCGGCTGAGCTGAACGTCTGTGACAGATGGTGACACGTTACGGGGACACTGCAGCCGATTGGCTATGCGGGGAAAAGCACACCTGGTGCTGACAGGTGTGTCAGATTTTACCTGCTCAGGGAGCAGCACCGGATGCCCGTGACTTTTCTAGCGCAGATCTAGGAATTTCAGGTATTTATTTTGAAGCGAGAAAAGACCAGGAAAAGAAAATTCCTGTATTGCTGTGCTGTGGGATGGTACATGGCAACAGGGACCAAAATTAACATTCGCCGGGCGCCAAATGCAACTAAAAAATTGGGTTAGTCACCATTTGGCTGGTAATTTTCTTAGGAACTGCAACATAAGAAATCTTTTAAATCAAATTAGTTAGACAGTCTAATTTGAATCAAATTAGAACAATAGTTTGACTCTCCCTGATGTAAAAGATGTGCGTGTTTTAAATAAAAGACAACCATTCCAAAGAAGCCATCTGTGTGTCTTCTTAACTTTTACCAAAGCGAAAGCTTTGTCATCAGGATTTATTCAGAATGTCAAATGTTTAAGACCGTTTTTCCGAAAACATGTGGCAAAACATATGTGAAATATATTTCACAAAAAAATGAAGCCACCAAAACAAACATATGAGGAACAAAATTATTATGGCTGACTCGTCAATGTTCATTACTTAAGAATTCTGTCATTATTTACTCACTTTAATACTGTCCCAAACTTCTACTGAGCACAAAATAAGCTATTTTGAAGAACGCTGGGGTTCAAACAACATTGAACCCCACTGACGTTCACTGAATGGATGAAAAAAAATATTTATTTTCTTCAAAAAACATTTTTTTGTGTGTGTGTTCTAAAAAATAAAGAAAGTCGTACAGTTTTGGAACAATATGTGGATGAGTAAATAATGATTTTTTTTTTTTTTTGAAATTTTTGGGTGAACCATTCCTTTATGGAAAAATGGCTAAATCAATTCCAAACAGATAAAATGTTATTAAAAAAAAAAAAAACAATCAAACCAAAACACAAAAAACAAAACATGGCTTGTAAGAAATATGATGTAATTTTGGACCCTTCTTGGAATAACAATGAAACTGTGTGGGGGTGCTTTGAAATTGGGATTTTCAGCTGGATACATTTTACTCTGGCACAACGGTTTCATTCTGCCAGATCAACATGGAGAAAGATACACAAATGAGCTCTAAGTGCTGGAAGAGATGCATCCACTCAGATCAGAACACTATTGTTCATCCCAGCAACACACAAGCAGGCAGCTCTCTCATGAGTCATATCTATATCTGTCATTACACACCAACAAACCACAAACAAAAGCTGACTCAATCTGCACACCAGCAATGTGGTGGTAAACACTGGTTCTCAGAAAACCAACCAGCCACTTTCAAAAGAGAATTCTAATGGGCGAATTCACTATAGAGTTTAGTGCACGGTATTTCACCACAAAAACTTCTTCAGTCTTATTCACTAAGCACCCACAAACCATTTTTACCAAGTGCTGAATGTGTTGCTATAGCACTACACTATGAGTATTTAAATTCTCATGGGCTTCAGAGGCACCTCAGTTCTATGCAAATTAAGCTTAATATACAATACCCCTTTTAGAGCGCTTTTAGAGAGACTTTCTATTCATGTCAAGGGTTTTCAAACTCTTTGATGCCAAAAACCCCAAAATATGATGACTACCTTAAAATCACCTTACACTGGGTGAAAAAAGGTCAAATTCAGTAATATTTATTATAACATTTTTATTATTATTCATTTATTAATGTTATTATAATAATGATAATAATATATTCAATTTTTATTGTTATTGTAATAATGATAATAACTAGTGCTGGGCAACGATTACATTTTTTAATCGCGATTAATCGCATTGTTATGCACAAAATTCAATAAAGAATTCAAAAGTAGTGTATTGTGCACTTTTTCATTTAAAAATACTGCTATATGAACAAAAGTGCAATAACATTTGTTTTGCAAACACTTTAAACAAAATAAGGTGCTTTTTTACAGCAGTATTCCTTTTACATAGTAGCAATAACAGGCACCTTCCGAGAGTGCCTGTTATAATGAGACCGGCACTATCGCGGGACCTAACGCAGCAGAGTGCGGCGCAGGACAACACTTGATGGGCGAGTGAGGGTGCGGGCGTGTAGACACTCGTGTGTGCGGGATACGGGAGAATAAGGGTGTATCAAGCAATCTTAACCGTGCCCGAGCGCGTCTGACCCCCAAAGCCCGGTTTGTTTGACTAGTGTGATCACTCTGCGCCGCGGTTCGTTTAGCCGGCCCTGGCAGTAGATCAGTGAGTATGAGCGCTAACCGCACCCGAGCGATGAACTTCTGATACGTGCAGCATGATTGCATGAACATTTCTGAGTGGCAAAAGTGATAGATCTGTAAAGCAGTGAGAGGGCCGTGTGTGTTACCGTGTCCCAAACGACTCAAGATAATAAACCACAAAGTTAACAAAACGATGTACTCCACTGTGCTGAGCGAGAGCGCTTCTCTGCGGTCTTCACGTGCTATCGGAAACTTCCTGTTTCCCACTCATGAAGTCGTGAGCGCATCATGTGAGCGCTGCTGCAGTCTTAGGCCCACCCCAAATGCTCTCATTGGCTGAGATGCGTTGTGACACCCATCCCAAGCCAGTACTGATCAACATTCCACCCCTCCTGTGACCCATGGTTTGTCTGTGTATTCAGAGCCAGTGAGAAACAGACTTTTATAATAATAAAAAACTGCGTTAACGCGCGATAAAATAATTGTCGGCGTTAATCAATTAATGCGTTAACGCGATAATAACACGTTAACTTGCCCAGCCCTAATAATAACAATAATTATTATTACTATTATTATTTTAAAAATGTAATTGCATTTTAATAATAATTACATTTAAATAAAAAATATTTATTATTGTTAATTTCATTATTAAATAATACTATACATCAGTTTAGTAAGCAACTATACATCAAATAAAAACCAAATGAAAACATTCAAATAAACATCGCTATTAGTGGGTGCATTTAATTCTTAGTAAATTCCCCCCAAAATCCAAAGATTTAGATCATAAAAAGCAGGTCTCACCAGAGTCCGAGCTGTACATGTAGACGAACCTAGACCACTTGTAGTGTTTGATTACGCCCACCAGGGCGTCCTGCAGTTCGGGTCTCAACTGGATAACAAACTGGTTGGAGTTTTCCATGGGGAAGCTGGGCGTCACGAAGCAGACGTGTAGCGCACCGCAGAACGACATCAACATGTTGACGGTCTTCCTGTCGTACACGCCGATGATGGCGTACACTCCTTTGGAGAACTGCGAACAGACTGGAGACGACAACAGAACATGATTTACAACACAGACATCATTCACGTCGCATTGTTAACATCTCGCTGGTTTTATTATTCACTTCTGAGAAGCAATTAGTAAACGTTTCTATATGCATCACTGGACTTGAAATGGTGCGGATGGAGTTTCTAAAGAGGCAGATAATCAATGCGCACAAAGGTTCTCGCTGACATTTACCAAACAGCAGGGCGCTTTTCTACCTCTGCTGCCTTGAACGCTGCATATCTTTTCCTCTCCCTGTTGGTGGCAAAATGGCCTCAATCTGTTTTGTTTTGTATTTTAATGCTGTATCATACTCTGTTGTTGCTATCTTTGCCCTGGCTGAGGTTATTTTTCACTCTGGCTCCGGGCCTCACGTTTCAGTCCCGCAACTAAACAGATTGAAGTTGCAGTCTGTTCGCTGCTCAAGGCCCAAATCCCAGCAGCGGCCGCGTACACGCCGATGATGGCGTACACTCCTTTGGAGAACTGCGAACAGACTGGAGACGACAACAGAACATGATTTACAACACAGACATCATTCACGTCGCATTGTTAACATCTCGCTGGTTTTATTATTCACTTCTGAGAAGCAATTAGTAAACGTTTCTATATGCATCACTGGACTTGAAATGGTGCGGATGGAGTTTCTAAAGAGGCAGATAATCAATGCGCACAAAGGTTCTCGCTGACATTTACCAAACAGCAGGGCGCTTTTCTACCTCTGCTGCCTTGAACGCTGCATATCTTTTCCTCTCCCTGTTGGTGGCAAAATGGCCTCAATCTGTTTTGTTTTGTATTTTAATGCTGTATCATACTCTGTTGTTGCTATCTTTGCCCTGGCTGAGGTTATTTTTCACTCTGGCTCCGGGCCTCACGTTTCAGTCCCGCAACTAAACAGATTGAAGTTGCAGTCTGTTCGCTGCCCAAGGCCCAAATCCCAGCAGGGGCCGCCTGAGGGGCACAGGGGGAGCAGGAGCGATAGGCATGGCCATCACCCAAACTGCCTGCCCCACAATGCAACAGCCCACAAGCAGTGCAGGGTGCCAGCATGCGTGTTTGTGTGTGTGTGTGTGTGTGTGTGTGTGTGTGTGTGTATGTGTGTGTGTGTCTGTGACCACTGGCCTTCATCACATGCACTATGACTCACTTCAACATCCGGCTGAAACATAAACACTTCATCTGTCAGATATATAGATACTGTCTCATTCTGAAATCACATGCATGAAATAAACGAACAAATTACATCTTATAAAGAGAAGGTGATATTCAACACAGGCACACTAATTTAAACTGCTCTCTCTGCACCGTATATAAAAGTCACACGCTTGGTGCTAAGCAATAATGATTTTGACATGTCTATAACATATTCTGCAGTGAGATCTGAGGCAATATTGGGGGTGTTCTTATCACATGGCTCTGCTTCCTCTGTGACTGATGACTTGCACATTAATTCTGTCTGGGCTGAGCTTTGTGGACCCGGAGAGACAGAGAGAGAGAGAAAGTGAAAAGGGAAAGGAAGGTGGGGGACTGCATCCTTCTGTGTTAGCCATTACCAAAGACATATGGCACACTGAATTGAAATCCTCACCATACCATATGCGCTTGTCTTGAATGGTTTCACATACTTTACTATATTTATTTTTTGTCAATTCATACAATGTTAATATACTGTGCTCATTTATCTACAACATATAGTTGAACTGGCTTCCTGGCAACAGGCATCAGCAGAACATATTCATTACCTTTATTTGATATCACTTGGCATATGACTTCATTCTTAATGACAACATTAATTGCAGCGATATATTGGCTGACTGAACAGAGTTTTAGTGCCTTGCTCATGGGGTTTTAAACTTGCAATGCTATCTGAGACAGTCACACTGATGTACTTGAGAGTGATGCGAGTGTGAGTCACACTCCTTTACTGATTCTTTCCCTCGTCTTCTACGCATCATTTCCTGTTCTTTTTCTATTTTCCTATTAATAAAAAGTGACAAAAAAAAAATCTATACAAATTTTTTTTTTTGGGGGTGGGTACAGTTTTGTAAAGTTTTTGATAGAAGTCTTATGCTCACCAAGGCTGCATTTATTTGATAAAAAATACAGTAAAAACAGTAATATTATGAAATATTATTACAGTTTAAAATAACTCTTTTCTATTTAAATATATTTCCAAGTGCAATTTATTTCTGTGATAGAAAAGCAGAATTTTCAGCATCATTACTCCAGTCTTCAGTGTCACATGATCCTTCAGAAATCATTCTAATATGCTGATTTGGTGATCAAGAAACATTTCATATTATTATCAATGTTGAAATCAGTTATGCTGCTTAATATTTCTGTGGAAACGGTGACACATTTTGATGAACCGTGATACATCATGATTATGAATAGAGTTAAAAGCTGCATTTATATGAAAAAATTATTTTTTGAAACAATGTAACAGTCTCTCAATTTTGATCAATTGCATCCTTGTTCAATACAATTCTTTAAAAAATTAATTTAAAAAAGATTAAAAATTGTACTGACTGCAAACTTTTGAATGGTAGTGTATGTAAATAAAATGGCAATTTCCTTAACGGGTCATTTTTGGCCCTGTGAACTGTTAGAAAATAAACGCTTAAAACACTTTTCAGATGCTTACTAGTTTAAGTAATTTGTCAGTTTGTTTATTTAATCTCAAGCTCTTCCCTAACTTTAAATAAAACTTAGGAGTAAAATTGTTAATAAATTGAAGGACAACTGTAATTTGTCATTTCAAAAGTAGTAACAAATGTCCTGATAAAAAGTTTCCAAGATAGAATAATAACATAAACACATTTGGTTTTTAATCAGTAACACATTTGCAAACATTTCAATGGAATCTATTTGCCACACGGCTGCTGCCACTTCCCACGTGTGTGATAATGTGGAAGCAGATTGGAAGTGTGCGGCTCTCTCACTCTCTCACTCATCTGCTTCCCTGTTCTGAAAAGTTCCTCATGACAGGGAGCACATGGCCATGTCATCTGACCCTCTAATGACAGTAACACACTGGCCGCCTGCAGTGGTTTGTGTTAGCCTGAGTAGAGGCGTAAAACACGATGTGAACACCTCTGGCAAGCCTGTGCTCTCTCTGGCCCTGCTAAAGATCCTGGCAGCATCTGCCTGTCCTGGCACCATCTCACAAACAGATCTCCACAGGTCTGTTCGGTCGTACCAGACCCTCGGCGGGGATGACTGATGACTGTATTGAATGTTCAGCTTGTCTGTGGTCATGGGACTCGTTTAGTATAAACTAAGCTGATGCAATCAGTCTAGAAGTTACACAATAAAAATATATTTTACAGTTTAAAATAACTCTTTTCTATTTAAATATATTTCCAAGTGCAATTTATTTCTGTGATAGAAAAGCAGAATTTTCAGCATCATTACTCCAGTCTTCAGTGTCACATGATCCTTCAGAAATCATAATATGCTGAATTGGTGCTCAAGAAACAAAGTTAAGTGTTGAAACAGTTGAGCTGCTTAATATTTTTGTGCAAAAAATTATTATTTTTTCAGGATACTTTGGTTAATAGAAAGTTCAAAGGTACAGCATTTATTTGAAGAAGAAATATTTTTGTAACATTATAATATTGTCACTTTTGATCAATTGAATGTGCCCTTGCTGAATATATAAAGTATAAAAAATTAAAAGATTAAAAATTGTACTGTCTGCAAACTTTTGAATGGTAGTGTATGTAAATAAAATGGCAAATGGCAGAACACAATAAGTAGCAGCACAATAGAAAGTAGTTTTGATGGATATCACTTAGAAAACTAGTTGAACAAAAGCCGGTATATAAACAAATTATAGTTATATTTTCCATATGAAGGGTATTTTCAGCATTAGAGTTAGCATTCGTTTATGAGGTGTTAACTGATAAAGAGTAAAGACAAATAACAAATAAATGTGCTCAAATATGTTTTTCTTCAGTTTCCAAGAAACATAAACACATTTGGTTTTTAATCAGTAACACATTTGCAAACATTTCAATGGAATCTATGGAATCTATGGCTGCTGCCACTTCCCACGTGTGTGATAATGTGGAAGCAGATTGGAAGTGTGCGGCTCTCTCACTCTCTCACTCATCTGCTTCCCTGTTCTGAAAAGTTCCTCATGACAGGGAGCACATGGCCATGTCATCTGACCCTCTAATGACAGTAACACACTGGCCGCCTGCAGTGGTTTGTGTTAGCCTGAGTAGAGGCGTAAAACACGATGTGAACACCTCTGGCCAGCCTGTGCTCTCTCTGGCCCTGCTAAAGATCCTGGCAGCATCTGCCCGTCCTGGCACCATCTCACAAACAGATCTCCACAGGTCTGTTCGGTCGTACCAGACCCTCGGCGGGGATGACTGATGACTGTATTGAATGTTCAGCTTGTCTGTGGTCATGGGACTCGTTTAGTATAAACTAAGCTGATGCAATCAGTCTAGAAGTTACACAATAAAAATATATTTACACAAAAAATAAAATAAAATAGCAGCTGTGGTTGCCAAAAATTCACTGTAAAAAATACGATGTCAATGTTTCAGGTATTATGAGATGGGATATTGATGCCTGTATATTTTACAACTTATTTTACAGCGTATATTTAATTAAGTGGTATAATGTCAATATACAAATCTTCTTGAACTAACAAAATTAACTTTCTACGTTATACTTTAAAATGTACTGATAACTACCAAGGGAATACAGGGGGGACAACATAAAACCACAAGATGAATCAGAGTTCATTGCCTGCATCCATAAAACAAGGCCAATAATCATATATACAGTAGACCATGAAGGTAACTCACATGACACTCAAATAATGCAGTAAACAAAATTAATAACAGAATATGTAGCACAAAACGCTCTTTGTACAGTATCAAAAAAATAAAAAAATAGAAGAAACACAATGCATATGTGATGTGTCATGCAGGGATTTCTGAGAATGTCTTTTACTGGTTATTAATGGTAAATCATGTTA